CACTTCAATTATTTCACAGATTAAGATTTTATAATAAATACCGCTGACCATTGTACACAGTATCCCCTAAAATAATATTTCATGATTAAGACCCGGTATTACTCACCATCCCTATCATCCTGTTTCTTGAATAAGACCCAGGGTATAACTCTATATTATTAACCGATTTTTTTTTTTTATAATAAAGCCATATTGTAATATGAGAACTAAACTCATTTTTAAGATGTTATGGAATATTAAAAGATACTGTAACATTTCAGAAGATTATTTGTTGTTCGAATTATGTAGAATGGGGTCCTTATGTCAAAATGACAAAATCTTCATAGTAAAAATAATGTCGAAAGATGAATTAACATTATTTTTTTTGTTATTATTAATTTTTAACGTTGCGTAATGCACATACGGGTCATATCTAGTTTAAATTAAATTCTTTCTAAAATTTGATGCAAAAAAATTATCTTTCGAAATTCCGCAGGCACTTGATGATATTAGCTAAATTTTATTGGAACAAATCAAAGATTCTTTCTAAAATTTTAATTTTTAGCGATAACCATTTAATTCTGTAATTATGATAAATCTAATGGAATTTTTTTTATTTTAATATTATAACACAACAGAATTTAAATAAAAAAATTTGTAAAATTCTATTTGGTAGTTATCGAGAATTATTCGTTTAAAATTTTAAAAAAAGAATATTTTTTATGCGGTTAAATTTATTGTTTATCTTTAAGTGAAGATTTCTCCGACGATTACCTAGCCAATTTTTTTTTTTTTTTATTTAAATTCTACAAATTCGTAGAATTAAAATAAAAAAAATTTCATTTAATTTGGTTAATGTCGTTGAGAAATCTTCAAGTTCAAAGAAAGAAATTTACCCGATTTTTAAAATATTTCCTGATATTCTAACTTTTTTAAAACTTTAGACGAATATTCTCGATAACTACCAAATAGAATTTGTCAATTTTTTTTAATCGTAATTTTTGCATAGTTATAGTATTAAAAAATAAAAAAAATTCATTAGATTTAATTAAGAGGTTATCGAGAAACCTTCGCTAGAAGTTTAAAAAAATTCAAAATTTTAGAAAGGATCGATTTTTACAAATTTTAGATCATGGAATTTTATGCGGTTATGTATGATAATCACAGGTATATACTGACTGAGCTTTGTATAATAATTTCGGTACTGTACAGTAATTTTTATAATAAAAAATAGTTTTTGTTATATTTCGTTCAATAATAATTTTTCTTTCAATTTTAAAGTCTTACAATCTTTATTGAATTCTTAGCAACTTTACGTTTTCAAAATTATATATCATAAAACTTTCATTAAAAACATATTCTAATTATACTAATTTTTGAAATTTATTTTTTAATTGAAAATTTTAATATAATACTGTACAGAAACTTTGAATTTCTTAATGCGCAGTAACTGAATAATAACTATGTAGTTATGATTAAATTTAATTTTAATTATGTAGTTACTAAGTCGTTACCATTCAGTTACTGCGTATTAATATGGTTAAGTTTCTGTAAAGTATGTAAGATTTGAAAGCTTAAAGTTATTAAGAATACAGTACTGCAGTAAAAGATTAAAAAAAAAACTTAAAATTGAAAAAAAATTATTATTAGATTACGGTAATAATTTATGGATCGGAAATCTATCATTACATAAAAATAAATGGGATTAGACATTATTATTGCTTATCATAGAACCTATTCCTTCTACCTGAACGAGCAGATTCCGTGGCCAACAATACACCTGTGCTTAACGACGTGGTACAGTGTGGGATAGGGTTGTCGAACAGGTCGCAAGATGTCACATGAGCAGGATTTTCCGAGTATCGTGTAGACCTTTTTGGGGCGTGGTGGAAGGGCTAGCTGGACACGAATGTCGAGTAGAAAATTCAGCGACAAATAAAACAACAGATTATCAGGTTACATCAACCCTCCTGTCTTGTTGCATAAACTAGTTGGCACAAAATATATTGTTAACTAATTTGACTAAATGTAACATACTAATAAATAAACCTTTTTACTAAACAAAAATATTTTTTTCAAACTAAAATGTTAACTAAACAAAAGTTATCAAATGAAATTGGCAATTTTAGCAAATAAGTTTTGCAGGTTGCCAAAAATTGGCAGAAAAAGGAAATTCTTATGGGATATTCATGCTTGATTATTGCTATGAGCACGGAATTGATGTTGAAAAGGATGAGAATAGGGCGTTTACTTATTATTTAAGGTCAGTAGATATGAACAGTTCTAACGGAATGTTTCAAGTTGGCTTTTGTTATTATAATGGGATTGGTATTGAGATGAATAAGCGCAAAGCATTTGAGTATTACCAAAAATCAGCTGAAATAAACAACTCTAATGGATTTTTAAAACCGCCATTTTTTACTATTACGGAATTGGTGTAGAAAAGAATAAGAACAAATATTGGGAATGGATTAAAAAGTAAATTAATTTTTTAATTTGTGACATAATTTCTTTAAAAATTAGAAACATCACTGATGTAATTTTAATTCTTAGGGAGTAAGTATATAAGAACGTTATTAATATACATATTAAAATCTGCAATATAAGTTCAAAATATCTCACTTATTTATACAATTTAGCCAGTGAGTATAATATTTATTAATTTGAAGAATTAAAAATAACATGTCATATTCTTTAAAAATCATTTCATTCAGCTCGTGAGTATAAAGATTATTTATTAGTAGGTGGAATTAAAAACAACAAATCATGTTAGGGTGTTGCACATAGTGTTACAAATCGGACCAAAAAATGCAATCGATTAGTTGGCCAAAATTCTTTTAAAAATCGATTAAAAATCGATTATAACCAACTAATCGATTAATCGATTATAACCAACTAATCGATTAATCGATTAGTCAATTAATCGATTAATTAACTTAGTTGATATATCGAAATGGCTTGGACATAATTGCGTGGCCATTAATTACAAGATCAAATTATTCTCGCTCGGATCATTTTCACTTATTTAAATATTTTATTTACATAATTTATGAAGATACATCATGGGAGTA